CCACCATCACCAGCAGCCGCACGCGAGTCCAAGATAAACTTCAATGCGGAAGCAGAGAGCAAAATTACATAGGAGTACGACTCTCAATTGGGCGACAAAGGCGACGAATGATAGATACAGTCGCCCGCTTACCACAGGAAGACCACGGCGTATTTTGCACCGATTTCCATCTTGAACTTCGCTGCGGGACATGTGAGATCCTTATTTCTCATGGCCCAGGGTGGATACAGCCACCTGCGCTATAAACATTCACTACGGGGAGCCACGTCGTATCTTGTACCGGCTTCCATCTGCGGGAAACCATTTGCGATCTATTTTTTTCCGAAACCGCACAACTGCATGCTTCCAGCCGCCCTTGATTTTCCAACTCCCTTGCTGATTGCTTCTGGATGGGCTAGTGACTGTTTCCCATTCCGATTCCGCATCCAATCCCCCGTCGCAGTGATAATCAATTCCAGCAAAACTGGAAGAACATGGAAAATTACCACATCAACCAATCAATAATGATAATAATGTTCTTACTGTTGTGGAAACCATGCCTCAATTTTCTGAAACGGTTCTCGATCTGCTATTTTCTTTCTGAAGCAAGAGAACCTTTTTCGTCCAGTGGGAGAACGTTTTTCTGAAACGGTAAGGATGCTTATGCCTGAAACCGTGCTTTATTTTGATTATCGCATGGTATTTGTTCTGAAAGCATCCTGCGTTTTTCCTGGAATGGCAGTCATCCGTGGCGGATCACTGTGTCTATATGTTGTGGAAGATGGGGATGGAACCCACTCCGAACAAACAGCATCGATCCGGGCGCAGGCCAAGTGGAATAATAGCGGACTCAGCCCAAGGACCGGTTTGCCAGATTTGGGTGCACGGAAAATCACCGAATTCGTTGTGGACGGACCTAGCTACCGCTCGTTGCACGGAGAACTCTTGTTGACCCCACCGATAATGTAGATTCATACTTTTTCCCCCTACCTAGGCTCTGCCTGGAAGGGTTCTTACTCTCTTTGCTTAAAGAGCCGGGCAGTGCTAACCGCCCCGGGCGGTTCCCCCAGTCCCCGCCCCGCGGTTCCCCCAGTCCCCTGGGAGCTTTAGCCTTAGCTTTAGCTTTAGCTTAGCTTTAGCTTAGCTTTAGCTTTAGCTTTAGCTTCAGCTTAGCTTTAGCTTAGCTTTAGCTTAGTGTTAGCTTAGCTTTAGCTTAGCTTTAGCTTAGCTTCAGCTTAGCTTTAGCTTAGCTTAGCTTTAGCTTAGCTTGAGCTTAGCTTTAGCTTAAGCTTAGCTTTAGCTTAGCCTTAGCTTAGCCTTAGCTTAGCTTTAGCTTAGCTTTCGCTTAGCTTTAGCTTAGCTTTAGCTTAGCTTTAGCTTAGCTTCAGCTTAGCTGTAGCTTCGTGTTAGCTTAGCCTTAGCTTAGCTTTAGCTTAGCTTTAGCTTAGCTCTACTGTTACTACTAATGCTGCTTTCCTAGGGGCTCCAACTCCTAGGTAGGGTCGCACTGGGATAATCTAGATTATTGGGTGGAACCTCGTGTATTCTCCCGTGCTAACGCAGGAACTAGCTTGACAGTTTGTGGGTCTGTGGGAGCCGGGCTGCACATAATCTTTGTGATAAGGACCGTTACGTGAACACATGACACAAGAGGGTTCCGAATCAGAGGCCGAAACTTGAATCACAGACCGCGCGCGGGATCTCAGACACCGCCCGCTCAAACACAGATTCGTTCCCCCCTGAATCAGAGATTCCGATCGCCGAATCAGAGATTCCGCCCGCCGAATCAGAGACTCCACCCGACGAATCAGAGACCCCTCCTGCTGAATCAGAGACGCCGCCCGCCGAGTCAGCGACTCCGCCTTCCTCCCCCCTTGTACTCTCCCATCGGGGGCAGTTTCTTCCTCCTCCTCCTCCTCCTCCCCCGCGCACGCACACACACACATTCACACACAATCACGCACACAAACACACACACACACACACATTCACACACAATCACACACACACACATTCACACACAATCACACACACACAATCACGCACACAAACACACACACACACACAATCACGCACACAAACACACACACACACACACACACAAACACACACCACAAACACCAATCACACACACACACACGCACACACAATCACACACACAATCACGCACACAAACACCACACACAACCACACACACACACACACACACACACACACACACACACACACACACACACACACACACACACACACACACACACACACACACAACAACAGAAACACAAACACAACCACAAACAGAAACACGAACACAACCACAACCACAACCACAAGCACAACACACAAACACATCCAAACACACAAACGCACACACACACGCACACACAAACTCACACAAACACGCACACAAACACACACACAGACACACACAAACACACACACACACACAAACACGCACACAAACACACAGACCCACACACACAAACACACACAAGCACACACAAAAACACACAGACACACACACACACGCAAACACGCACATACCACACACAAGCGCACACAGACACACACACAGAGACACACACAGACACACACAGACACACACACAGACACACGCACACAGACCCACGCACACACGCACCCACGCACCCACGCACCCACGCACCCACGCATCCACGCACCCACGCACTAACGCACCCACGCACCCACCCACCCACGCACCCACCCACGCACCCACGCACCCACGCTCCCACGCACCCACGCGACCCAAAGCAGCACCAAGCAGAAGCACAAACACAAACACAAGCAAAACACAAGCACAAAACCACAAAACACAAACACCAACACCACCAACCTAACCACCACCACACACCACACCACACCACACCACACAACCACACCACCAACACACAACCACACCACACACCACACCCACCCCACCCCACCACACCACACCCACCCCACCCCACTCCACGCCACCCACACCACACCACACCACACCACTCCACACCTCACCTCACCACATCACCACACCACAATACAACACAAACAACATACTTTTTCGTCGGCGGCTAGGCAGAGGAACTGCGCTGGCGGACGGCACACGCCCACACACACACGCACGCACGCACGCACGCACACACACACACACGCACACACACAGACACACACAGACACACACACACACACACATACACACACACACGCAAACACACATAAACACACACAAACACACACACACACCCACACACATCCACACACACCCACACACACCCACACACACCCACACACCCACACACACACAAACACGCCCCCAATGTTGGGACCCGGTGATGGTGCGGCGAGCCTCGGCTTTGGCCCGCATCTAGCGGCGGGGAATGCACCCCGGCAGAAACGCCACCGGCGCTGAGATTGGGGCGCCCCTGCGGCCGCGTGGGGGGTTTGGGGTGATGGTCGCCTGGGGGGCTGTTTGTCGCCCTGGGGGTCTTGCGATCTCCCTCGCCCTCGTCCTTTTCCTCTTCTCCTTGTTCCTCCTCCCTGGTCTCTTCTCCGCTCTCTGGCCTGTTGGAGGGGGTCTGCTGCGCTTGGAAATGTTGCATGTGGGGTGTTCGCCACCCCCTGCCCTCACGGCGGGGGTCCGCTTCGGCGGGGCTGGCCGTTGCTAGCATGGCACACCCCACTCTTCGGCCACTGCTCCACCCTCCCTTCGAGTGACGTGCGGTCCCCCCCCGCGGCGGCCTTCTGCCCACGAACACCCCCGTCGGCCCAGGGGAAGGGGCACCACCCCGAGGCGTGGCTGGCTAGGCCAACCTTCACAGTGCAGGCGTGGCCGCGCGGCCCGTCCTGACCTCGGCGCCTTGGGGCGTGCGCCTGCGTGCGCGGAGCGTGTAGCTCCTGGAATGTGTGCCATTTTGTTCAAGCCCGTTGTCGGTTGGCATTAGGCCTTCAAGCGGCAGTGCTTAGGGTGTAACACACACGTACACGCGCCCCCCTACCCGCACACACACACACACACACCCACACACCCGCACACACAACACACAACACACACACACACACATCCACGCACGAGCATATACACCAGCATACACAACACAAGACATAACACAACAAAACACAACAAAACACAACACAACACACCATAACACAAAACAACACAAACACACACGCACGCACGCACGCACCCACACACACACAGACACACATATACTCACACCCACACTCGCACACACACACACACACACACCCGCACACACCCGCACACACACCAACACACACACACACACCCGCACACCCCCGCACACACACACACACACACCCGCACACACCCGCACACACAACACACACACACATTCACATACATACGCAAACAACACACAAACAACCACACACAAACACCCACACCCACACCCGCACACACACACACACACCCGCACACACACACACGCATAAGCCCGCACACGCCCGCACACACACAACACACACATTCATATAGATACGCAAAAACAGACACAAACAACCACACACAAACAGCCACACCCACACCCGCACACACACACAACGCACGCACGCACGCCCCCATACACACATCCACATACATACGTAAAAAACGCACACGAACAACCACACACAAACACACAAACACCCACACCCGCACACACACACACAACGCACGCACGCCCCCATGCACACACACACTCACGCGCGCACACACACACACAAACACGCACACCCCCAAGCCTGTCTCCGTCGGTCTTCGGCTCATAACTCGGGCCACCAGCGGCCGCTCAAGACGGCCCGGGCCCCTCTGGAAAGCTCTCGACGAGGCGCATCTACCGAAAATCATGTCGAGGCGAAACAACCTCCAAGAACCGCGGCGACGACGACGACGGCGACGACGACGACGGCGACGACATGAACGACGCTGACGACGAGGTTGACGACGACGACGACGACGTCGCGACGACAACGACAACGACGACGACGACATTGACGCCCCCCCTCGATGACGAACACGCCCT